TATTCTAATCTTTCCAAAGTACAATCCAATTCCAATTTGCTATCCAAAACTATCTCCAGAGTTTAAAGTTGAAGTATTTTATTGACAACATTATATATTCGCACATAAAAAAACACACATGCATCATTATAAAATCAATACATAAACTTCACTCCGCTCAAAATCTGAATATCGTCTTTATCTAAATTTTAAATTTATTATAATATTAGTTTATTAGAATTTATATATTAGGTATATTATTTTTTGGTTTTATTTTCAGTATATTAATTTTTTTTAAAACTCGTTGGGATATGTAAAACTAAGCACTGCTCCACACCACTTTTCCCTCGCACACGCGTGATAATGAGATTAATAATTCCAAAAGTAGACGTCGCTGCTAAGAACGATTTCATTATAAAATAGATTTAAGCTAAAAAAAAAAAAATAATAATAATAAGAACTAATACCTAACTCAAAAACTATCAAAACACTCCTACTTCCTCTATAAAACTAAAAAAAAAAATACACGATAAAACGGCCCTGAAAAGGTGTGTCGCCAATTCCCATTGAGAGATTAAGGAAAACCAAGCAAAACAATTGCGAATCACACTTTCGAAGTTTCGTTTTTACAATATCACGCGGCGCAAATGACCCATTCGCGCGATCCCGCGTACGCTGCAGCACAAAGCGGACGAGTCGTATGTCGTCGACCTAACGCGCGCGCGCAACACGATACGACAAACGAGTTAAGCGAATGGCACACGGTGCACGACACTGCGGAAGCGGAAGTGTATAATATAGTGACGCGCCCGGCGAAGGCAGGTCGCATGACGCGTTGACCACGCTACTATAACTGAGCACTTCACACACGCGGCGCGACAACTATTGCACGCGCACGAGATGGATGGACGAAAACGATGGCCAACGTGCAGCACGGCATCGCAGGCTGCCGCGGGTGCGTTTAATGTCTGTGCGACGCGACGGTGGACGCGCGGGTGTGAAGTACTGTACGGAATCGGTGGCCGCGGTCGCACCGATCCCGATGCTGCATGTGTACAACTACGGTGTCGTCGCGACCCCGGTGTCGTCCGGTCATGTCTGTGTATCCGCGGCCGCCGCGGCCGATGTCGCGCGCCTGCACCGTGCCGCCGGAAATGGTGATGAGGGACAGGCGCTACAGCAGACATTTTGTTCAGAGCGTCATATCACGCCTCCTGCATACACATCTACACCCACCCGCCCACCAACAGTGGTCGTCGTCGCGGTCACCATCGCTACCGGGCCCAATAATCGCCGTACCACCACCAACCACCGTGATATGCATACATTATAATATTTGGTGTTACCCTAGGCGGTTACTGCGATCCGCACACAAATTATATTCGGATGTCTCGAGGTCCGACCCGCACACGCGGACAATGCGCGCACATCAAACTACCATTCGCATTGCGTCGTAGCATCATATTCGAGGCCTTTGCGGCAGCACACCCGAGCACATCCCCCCCCCCCCCCCCCGGCCGACGGGTAACCCGACTCTTTTAGGCAGATTCTCTTCGCAGCGACGACATTTTTCTACATCGCAGACTCCGCGTTTGTTCACAGTATCCGCGTAATAATTCTCAACTGTTGATCTTATTATTATTTATAACTTTTACAGTCCGTTTAGGATCTCCGCTGCCTTTTAATTCGGCAGTCAGTCCTTTATGAAATCGATTGGACCAGTTTCAGTTCATTTTATAAATCGTTATTTGTAAAAAACTAACTTCATAATAATTAATATCTTTAATTTAATTTAATTTGATTTTTATTTTAATCTATCGATCATATGGTTTTCAAAATTACATCGTTAATATTATAATGTATTAATACTAATGTCAATTTTTTTTTTTTTTACTATTAAGACAAATTCATACACAGATACATACATCGTATATATATACATAATAAAAATTTAGAGTATATATGTATACATAAAAAGATTTGTATTGTATATTTGTAAATTGTAATACAAATTGAAAGCATTTACAAATACTTTATACCAATAAATTGGGAACCTTATTGTGATAATATTAAAAATATGGATGGCAAAACTATCTAATATTATTTAAGATAATAAGACGTATATGTGCACTGCTCGGTTTTCTTAATAACGTTTTTGTACTTTAATAATAAATTAATAAACTGTAACTTTTCGATTAATTTTATTTGTATATTCGATTTACTAATATGTAATAACGTATGAAGTTCTAAAATGTTTTTGTTTCTAATTTTCTTAAAAAATTTTTATAGTTTTTTTAATTTATTTAAAAGTTAATTTAATAACTACGAGTTATTTATATTTAATTTTAATGTAAATAATATATATTACAATTTGAAGTGTTCAGTAGTGTACCAAAAATCGTGGAGATGTTCTTCATTTTTTGTACCATGGCTTTGAATATCTGCGTATATATTATATTGAAAAATGAATGATAGATAATAAGCTTTATAATTTTAAATATATTTTTTTACATTATCAATATATAGATATATCAATATTCAACATAGATTAATGCTCCATTTAATAGAAGTGAAGAAAAGGTTAACATAATTGTTATATTAGTATTAAGTTTATTTGTAATTTTTTTTTTTATAGCTATAGTTCAGTAATATGTATTTACTTGTAAATATTATTGAATTATTTGTATTTACTTAATAAATGTGGATTGGGCCTACTTCGGGAAACCACAATAAAAAAAACGCGCCGTTATGTGTAATACCTCATGATTTTATAAATAATAAATCCGGTAATATAATTACTAGAGATTGTTATTCGATATAATATCTAAGGTGGTGTGGAAATTTACACAGTTTCATAATGCATTATAAATAATAAATAAAATGTTTTCATTTATGTTCCTAAACTATAATTATTGGTAATTTTAGATTAGTTATTAGTTTAATTTTTAGACATCTCAATGTTAGTTAAGTTTTGGTATCTATAAATACCTACTGTTTAAATTATTTATCCAAATATTCTTTAGTTCAGATTTAAAAATTTAAAAAATAATTTTAACTGTGAACTATTTAAGTATGATGATTATAATAATAATAACGATAAAAACGAACTAATGTCATTCAATATTTGTGGCGTTCTTGCGGGAGAATCATAATAATCATCAGAAAGCTTGCAAATTTGTTGAAAGGAGAAACATAAAATACTCAACTGTTTCCACCGCACGCACTTACGTAGGTACATAATAATATAATATTATAATATGATATATGAATACAAGTTATACAACCAAGTCCGGATTTAGGATCGATTGGGCCCCAAGACCTTAGTGGGCCCCGTTTTCAACTTTAACTTCAAATAATTGTATCACTACATTTTAAAAACAGTATATTATTATTATTGCATAATTTTGTGTTGACAAAATTATATAAGGCTATAACCTATATGCCTATATAAAATAATAGTTATGTAATAATTTATTATTCACATTTTATATATATATAAACACTGTTTTGTTATAAAGAATAACAATTTAATATATATTATTATCATTTAGCAATTTTTCGTAATATTAAATTAAAAACATTTTTATTGTATAATTATTAATTATCTACTGTACCTACTAAAATATTTTTTTTTAACTTTTTAAACGCATTAAAAATATATATTTATATTGAAGATAAAGATAGGCTCCCAAAATCAGTGGGCCCCGGAACCGTGCCTCCTTGCCCTCCATCATTAATCCGGATTTGAATACAACGCACACGTTACGTCAAATATCAATAATACACTCAGTGGCGTATTTTCAATTTTTTTTGTGGGGGGGGGAGTCTTGACCCGGGAACACCCCCCGTAAATACGTCACTGAATACACTAATGAGTAATGATATTATATTACAGTAATAGTTTTATTTTAGCTAGCAGTTCGCCAGACGCCAGTGCTTACGCTATAAATGGTATAAGATTTTCGGTTGAAGGAATTCTTCCAAGAAAATGACAATAATTTATCGTTTGCACGTAAACAATTATAATATGTAAAATAGATAAAATATGTTCATCACTGATGTTTTTGTTTCGTATCATTTTATATTTAATTATTTTAAAATACCTAGTTTCAAATTGGCTCATGCTTAAATGACCTAATAAACCTATAAACCTAATAACCTATTATAAATTAAATATATAATGTTATTTTATTTTTATACAAAAATATATGTACATTTAAGCATTTATCTATTTAATGTGCATATTATTATATTAATATTAATGTAGTATAATTACTATTTCCATTTTATTACATAAATTTAATCAGTCGATTAATGATTTATTGATCACAAAATATTAATAATTAATACCTATTACTTATTAGGTACCTATTAAAATTACTAAATCAATAGCTTTTGTTCTGACTCGTCTGTACAGTGTACAACGTAAAGTGTATAATATTTTGATAATATCATAATTAAATATGTGGGCTGCTACTATTATAATATTATAATGAGTAGTGGCTATTAAATATGAATGTCTGTATAATATATTAAGTAAAATGTATTCTATAACATTAATATTCAAAACTAGATTACAGTGTACTACTAGTTCCGCTGAATGCGCTAGCAGTCTTGAGGTTTTTGATAAGAACATAGCGTGGTGAAAAAACCATGATCGCTGTGCAACTATTCATATTTCATATCTACGTCCGTGGTATATACTATCACAGAATATGATACTATATATATAGTAACTCTAACCTTTTCGTTGTTATCATTACGTAATCAACAAGAAATATTTTTAAATTTTAAAAGATTTATAGTTTTTCAATTCAATATTTTTATATTATGTTCATTATTGATAAATATTAATATATCATTAAACTATAATATATCTAATTGTTAGGTATTTATTACTTTTAATTTTGAGAAGCTTTCATTTCAATGTTTTTAAAATATGTTATTAATTTATAAAGATTAAATTATACTGTGTAGTTATTATTATATCCATAATTCCTATTCTAGTACAAATTAAAATATTCCTAACAGTTACCTTTAGTTTAATTTAGTTTTTTTTTTACCTTACATGTTTTTGCTAAATATTTTATTTTGATTGCTGTGTATAATGTCATCAGCCAAAGAAATTTTCAAAATTAGTTTTCAACTTTTGGCTCAACAAACAGATAACGGTAAGAAAATTAGAATCAGTTATAGTTTTGTAATTAACCTAGCTACTTATTGTATTATGATTTTATAAGTATTAACATTGATTATAAATAGTACTAGTATTATCTATAATCAATTATATTATTAATAACGAGAAACAAAATATTAATTAAATTATCAAACCTTTTAACAATTTCACTTTTTGATAAAGACAGTTTACATTTATTCTTTTTTTTATTTCTTAGATTTTTTAATGTATCTAGTTAGGTATTAATAATAGGTATATATTGTTTATGTACAGATATTTATAATGCTTCATATTAAATTCATAGTTTTATTTTAATAACTATTAAAATTCATTATGTATAGTTATCAAGGATTTCTTGAGGCTCACCAAGGATTTTATGGACAACGGACCTAATTCCAGTCTTTATAAAAAAGCTGCAGGTATTTCTTATTGTATTAATTATTTATAATATTCGATGTAAATTGTTATAGAATTTTAAATTAAAAAAATAATTTAATACAATCATTTAAGTAAATAATATTGTTTAGTATTTATAACTATATTTAATAATTAAAATAAAAATATAATCTATTTTTATTTAATATTTTATCCAGCCAGTAATGATTATCATTTATAAATATGGTCAATAATGATCAAATAACTATCAATTTCTAAAAATTGTTTTTTATGTATAATGTATACAGTATAAAATAATATACCCAATAGATTGTCAAAATAGTTTGAAATATATGTGATGTTGATCAATTTATTCAATTGTAAGAAATTTCACTCTACTCAGTGAATCACCCACAAAAATCAATGTCCCTAATTCAGGATTTAAATTATAAAAATTAGTGTAGATTTTACTTTCTTGGTTATTTAAACATTATACAATTTTACTGTTTAATATTATTTGATTTTTCCATTTAACTTTATTATAACATTAATTTTAGTTTTTAGTTTAATATTATTTAATACAATTTTAAACAACTATAAAATGAATATAAGCATAAAAGTTAGTTAAATTACGAAAATATACTTATAATTTACAAGTGTATTGAATATTTAATTTAAAAAAACAACAGTTAAATATTTCAGTAAATATTAACTATTGTTAATAAAAGTTAGTCAACCTTGAATTATTCATATCTACAATATGTTGTTAAAAAAATGAATAAAATTGGAGTTTTCATAGGAATGATGATATAATATTATGCCATAGGAACAACGTAGGTAAAAATAAAAACCAAACATAATTTAAAAAAATGTTATTTCTAATATTTCTAATTGTTTTTTTTCACGTTATATATTGTATGTTTATTGTTTATTATTAATTTAAAGTTTTTATATCATATTAATTGATATATTTTGTTAAATTATGTACAAACTATTTAAATAGCTAACTACTTGTTGACAAATTTCAAATGTTTATTATTAAACAATTTTAGATTTTGATTTCTTATGCATTTATTGAGATAATAATTAATAAGCAACTGTTTAAAGTTTTAAATTCACTCTTTATAAGTTAATAAAATATAGTTCTTATAAAAACTACAATATCATAATATTGTATTACAAAAGCGTTATTGTGTATTGTTTTATTATTGATGAAATAAATATATTTAATTAAATTTATTCTTTACTCTTTTTATTATAAATATTATAGAAATTATTGTATGACATTAATAAGAATTTATTTTATTGAAGAAAAATTGCAGATTGATGAAGACAAAATTATATCAATTGTAAAAAGCATATGTCTCATGTGTGTGCAAAGCTGTAAACATAAAGTATGTTAACTAAATAATTTAATTTGAGTATAATACTGTTTTATAATAAATTGGTTTTCTAGCTAACTGATATGGAAATAAAGGAGTCACTGACAGAATATGGTTTTAATGATACCAAATTAGACATGATTGTATTATTTTATGAAAACCAAAAACCCTATTTACTAGATATTTTATCATCTAGTGCATTTGTATTCCCACATTTCAAAGAACTAGAGTGGCGATTTGAAACTGATGTAAGTTGTTAAGATTAAATATAAAGAAATATAATCTCGATAATAGGTAATAAATTTTCATTTTATCAATGAAAAATACTGATTTTTAATATGACAGTAGAATAACTATATAATTTTTTTGTCATTATCATTCTCTTTATTAACCATTTTTTTTTTTCAAAAAACTTAATTTTTAAAAATAAATGTTTATAACTATAAACTTGTGCTGGATGAACTTTACATGGTATTAAAGTTCAAACATGTGATATAGGACATTAAAAAACTCAAAATACTTTTAAAATTAAGTTTTAATAAGGTTTAATAGATTGAATTATATTTTAGCTTAATTTTAGCATAAGGTAACATAATATTAATCAGATTTTGATGACTTTGAGTAGTTTTATGCACTATTGCATTTTCCATTTTTATATGTAGAATGTGTAATTATATATTTAGTATATGTTTAATAACTAGGGCTACAAATTTAATGTGCTAAAAAATCTTCATAAAATGTATTCAAATCTCAAAAAATTAACAAAATTTAAAAAACGTTTTTTATAATTTATTTATTTTCAAGATAAAACTATTACTTTAATTATTTTAAAAAGATTACAAAAACTAAAAAATAATCCATAAAATACTTAAATTGATAAAAGTTATTAAAAAAAAATATAAAAAAACTATTAAAAAAGAAAAACTCTAACAAAGACTCACAAATTGTAAAAAAAAATCATAGTAAAAGTTTCAAAATTAAATTTATTAGTATATAATCCAAACTTGATATTGGGCAATAAGCTTAAAAAAAAAATGAATTTTCCTATAAATTTGTAGCCCTAATTTTCACAAATTTAAAATGATTATAAATCCGATGACTGCAGAGTTTGATATAAAAAATTTATTTATTTTGTTGATAACAATTATCATTTTAAATAGAAAATTATGAATTCTATAATTTCTAGCTTTGAACGTAAGCTTACTTTGTATATACAAAGTCCAGCAGACAGGTATGATATTTTTGAAATGACTGTTATGTGCTCTTGGGTAGACACTGTTTTTGTAATGGTTAATATTTCATCATCAATAGATGTTATTTCAGTCTCAGTGTAGCCATGACAAAACATTAACATCAACTAGATGTAATTTTTTAAAGTTGATTATTTTTTCCAAAAAATAAATGTAAAATGTATATTTTTTGTAAATGGCAATGTACCAATTTTGTACAAAAACATTTTATTTTTTAATTGGTTTAAAATTAAATGTGTAACAATCTTTTCAAAAACTTCATACCTCTTTGCCAGCCACTATATATTAGGTATCTATTATTTGTGTTATAATAAAATGAATTTACATTAACTAAAATAAAGTTCTGTAGACAAAAACTATAACTAATCTACCATTAATAATTTTATCTACTAAAAGCATGTGAACATTTTATGTAAGTTATTTTACTGAAATAGTATGTAGATTAAAATACTTACTTCAAATTGTATTTTTTTTTTATATATTAATTAATTCTATGACATTTTTACAATTAATACTAAATAAACTGAATTTGATGGTATTCAAAAATTGAAATATTGTTAGGTATTTATAAAGGACTACATTTAAAAACCTTTATGTGGTATTTATAATTAATATTTTTAAAGCATAACAATTTAGGAATAAATAAATATATAAATGCAACTAATCATAATATATTATGTATACAGATGGGATCAAGATCTTTATTACATCAAACAGTACCAGTTGTTACATTGAAATTAGATTTAGAAAAAAAGAATATTTTCGAATCATTATTTCTACAAACAGATCCATTAAACTTGGTTCACATCAAAGATACTCTAGAGGCTGCTTTAAAACAGAACCAATCTCAATGGATAAGGAAAATACGTAGAAAATTGAAATGAAGGTATAATTTTTATAAACAATATAAATGACTGATAGTTTGATTAAGCAATTCCATGAGATTAAGTAAGTTGGATTCTTAGACTTTATCTTCAGATACAGTTGTTTGAGCAGAAGCAACTGATTTTGAATCGCTCCTGTCATCTTCCAATTTTCCACATACTAGACATGGGAACTTCTTATCTAATGCCAATCTATATTTTGGATGACTATAAAAAAAAAAAGTTATTAGCAGCATTTGTTGATAAACTTATATTTTAATTAATACCCACCTAATCGCATATACTATTGGATTGTATACTGCATTTGCTTTTGCAAAAACTGATCCCCAGATTGAAAATAATGGATCAATTGTAACTAATTGAAATATTCCAGCAAAGTTGATAACCATATATGGTGTCCAAGCCATGAACCATAAAGAAATTGTCATTAAAGCCACTTTAGCCAACTTAAATTCTGCACTAGTATTGCTTTGATCTCCAGATCTTAGAGAAGATACATTCATTTTTTTTGCTTGTTCTCTCATAGACTTCTCGTGCGATGCTACTGCCTATTTCAAAAATTGTTTTAGATTCTGAGAGGAACAATAAATGTATTGATTTTTTAATGATGTGTTTTCTTTTGTTTCTCTGTACAAGATACTAAGTCAAAAAAATAGTTCGATTAATTGTATCTAAATAGTACTTTAGAGTATAGAATTAAAAATTACCTGTATTTATCATAGTAATCAATAAAAACAACGATAAAATAAAAAAAAATTGAAATTTTCAGGTAAATTTAGTTTTTGATGAAATTTATTTTGTTTTTTAGTGTAATTCAAAAACGAAGAACCGTAAAAACTTGAAATTTTCACTAATTATTTATATATGGTTATATTCTAAAGAGAATATAATCTAAATATTTTGAATATTTTTAAGTTATTTATAAGCAATTTAAATTTTTGATTTTTCTTTTTAATTATTTTTATAAATTCTGATAAAAAATGTATAAATGGATAGAAATGCTTAAAATGTAATACAAATTTCTGTATAAGCGGTTCATTTCCTTAATAAATAATATTATTATTTTTTAAGTATTTAAAGTTAAAATTTTGACAAAATCTCCAAAATTACAATTTTTTTTGTAGTGCAAAATTCATAAAAAGTGTTCTATTTATACTGAAGATTTAAAAAATTAATACAAAGTTTATAATATGTTTGGAAATTTAGATTTAAAAAAAAAAAATTACTTGTGAGTCAAATTATTTTTTTATGATTGTTTAAAGTAAAAATTTTAAAGACATTGAATAACCATAAATACTTGAAAATTGTATCAAATGTTTATATTATTATTTTCTATACATGGCATAATTATAATTATTTTTTCTATAGATAATATCAGTAAAAAATATTCTATGGATCAATTCATAAAAATGAAATACAAAATTCCACTTAAGTTATTCTTATATCTATAGGCACATTCTTTTTTAGTTGCATTTACGTTAATATTAAATTTATACAAATTTTGTCAAAATCACAAAAGTTGTAAAGTCTTAAATTATTTTAACTAACGTTTGAAATTGTATAATATTTCATACAAAGAACTAAAAAATAAACCAACACTTATTTTTTATGGATATTTTAAGTTCAAATTTTGACAAGATTATTTATTTTAATAATGAATAATGATTTTAATTATTTTGTTATATTTCAAAAACATTATATACGGGAACTTATTTTTACATATAACTTAAATTTTAGTATACTATAAATTATAAATCTATTTTTATTATTTTACATGACTATAGACATTTTTTATTAAATTTTGAGTTGTATAGGTTTGTATAATGGTATAAATATATATTTTAATAATTAATACTATTAATTTAGTAAATACAATATTTTTGAAAAAAATTATATCAACCTACTATGATACTAAAAGTAAAATAAATGACTTTAATAGTTATATTAAAAAACATATCATGAAATATGTTAGATGATATAGGCAGATAAACTGTCTTTGCTCAAAATTGTTTTTCTTTTATAATAATATATCATTAAATTCAAATTTAACACATCCATAACAGTGATTTAATTGATGCCTAATTTACAACATAGTGGTACCCATTTACCTATCTTTTTAATTTAATTTTTATTCTTTTACAGTTTTTTAAAACTTACCTTCACAATAAAATAATATGCATAGATGATGACAAGCAAAGGTAAATAGTATGCGAACATTCCATATACTAAAACATAACTACGACTGTGCCATGACAAAGTTAAATAATCAGTGCCACATGCTGTCATGTTTGCTTCTGGTACATATCTACAAGACACATAAATTTAAATTATCCTTTAAACACATTTTTTCTCCATTTATTAAAATTTTTTTTTAATTTACCGGCTCCATCCAAAAAAAGGGGTTAAAGTCCAGAAAAGTCCATGCAGATATATACAAAATATTTGAAATAGTGCTAACTTGGTTGTCATAGGTTTTGCAGACAATCCCTTAAACATACAAATTGTATTTTATCTTTTATATGTGAATTCAGTTAATAAATGATTTATATAATATTTAAGTGTTTTATTTTTTATTTTTACCTTTACTATTACATTATAACGATCTAAAGCTATAAAGACCATTGTCCATATTGATGTAACCCCAAATAATGATCCAAACATAGCATACAATTCGCAAGCAAAAGGTCCTTTAACATAATTTGTGTAATTAATTTAAAATATAACATTATTCATTACCAAATGTATATAGTACCGAACATCCAAGTCTCGTAAAAACAATTCCAAACCATTGCCGGACACATAGTGAACATCAAACAAAAATCGGAAAACGCTAAGTTAACTACCAGTAAGTTGGATGGCGTTCTAAGATTTTTTGTACAGGTAAATATATATATCACCATTCCATTACCCACAACTGATAATATACCCAAGAAGAATATAGTGACGCCTAACCATTTGTACCACATTGATTCCATCGGTGGAAATTGATACCTTTGAAATATGGGTACATTTTAAAATTTGAATTATTCATTGTTTTATTATATTATCGTTCTTACCAAGAAGGATCAACCAGATGCATCATATCTGATGGAACTCGGTCAACCACTGTTTCATTTCCAAAACCTCCTTCAGCCACCCAGTTCGATTCTTGCCGTTCATAATGAGATCCGATTTTATCTAGCATTCTGTAATTCCAACTCAAATAACCAGTAGGTACTAACTGTTTATAAATATTATAGTTAAATTTCGATTACCTAATGCACTTACTTTGCGAATGTAGAAATACTTAAAAAAAATTATTGAACAAATATTTTTGGTGTTTGTGCTAAGAATTCAAGAAGTTTAACAGAGGTTGAAACTGTTTAAAGCCATTTATGTCTAACACGACTCTATCATCGATACTCCAGTAGAATATGACCATTGAATTGACAGTTAGATATTGAAGTTGTACTGCCGACTGCCGTATATTCTCCGAGGGCTCGTCCAAGAAAGGACTGTAACTTTCTTACACTTCAGTTGTCTTCTTTTAAATAAGAGCCTAGAATTGAAACCCTACCGATGCCATCTTCTACCTGTCTTAAGGGTGTAGTATACTTTTAAACAGATTATTCTTAATGCTGATACCAAGGTTGAGGTTTATTGTAGGGTTTTACTGAACGACTTTGAATGTTATGTAAATTTCTTATCCCGTGCAATGAGTATTATTAAATTAAGTTCCGAACGTCTAAAAAATAATACCTTTTTAAAATATTATAAATATTTTTTTGTTAATTTTCGTAATAATTAGTGATGTGCATAAAAATGTAAATTAAAATATAAAACCAATATTCTATCCAATCATAAGTTGTTCGAATCTTATTACTTGTATACCTTTTATTATAAATTTAAAATGATATAGTTATACTAATTAACTTATTAACTTATTGTTATTATTTGGAAGGTTGTTTGAAAGTTCATAAACTTATTGTTGAATGTTTTAAATTATTATGGTAAAAATTTAACTACCATCATTTACAAGGAAGCAACCAACAGTCATATTTGCTATTGTATTTACTATTTATTTAATTTTATTACTTATATAAGTATAGTGTATAGTGTATACCATAAACGATTCATATTTGCCGTATTTAAATTAAAAATTAAAATAATATTTAGATTACTGTTCAAAAACTAAATTTCATTTTTTTCTTCACACACGCGTAGTATATAGGTATAGAAATATTTTAAAATCTATTCTTATGAGAAGCCTTATTAATACCTATTATTACTTATGAATATTAAAACAAAACATTAGTTTGTGTAGATATCTATGTATGTCTACGTAGACCTTAGATAATTGTTTTTATTTAAACATTTTTTTTTCTAGTAGCAAGTACACTAATGAATACGTAGGTACATAAATCCAACCACTAAATGTATTACCTATGTACAGAAAAAATCTTACGCAATAATAAATAATAAAAATATTGAATGTACAAAAGCAGAGAAGGAGCTCATTGGTCATGTCTTTAACACTATTTTTTATATTTACGCGAGTTATTGCATATTTACAGACGATATACTTATTTATGAATTAGGTACGTATAATAATTTAGATGTAAGATAGGCAAGTACTACTGTACTAGGTACTAAAATGAACATAACATGAATAAATATTATTATATAACTTATAAACTTCTAATTATCAACATGGTTAATAAAGAAAATTCTTAAATGTTTTCTAGTAATTCTTACAATAAATTAAAAAAGATATAACTGTAAGTTTTTTTTAATAGATAATAATTATAGGTATTTGATTTAAAAATGTCATTGGTTTATGGTTAATTTTAAAACTAATTAAAATAGTATTAATTCCCAGGGTAGATCAATGCAAATAGGCGTTATTGTATTATTTGTTATGGACAAATTCAAATCAATGAATGTAAATGTTTTTAAATGTAACTTACATTTATTTTCACAAACGATTGATATTAAACCTTAAAGTACAAATTAGAACCACTAAAAGAACTTAAACTTAATTTTTGTTTGCTATCGTTCTCTTACATTTTTTGTTTGATAAAAATTGCTAAAAGTCTTATAAATCTGTCTTTGACTAAGTTAAAATTTTTAAATTTAAACTTTTTACTATACAATCCGTTAGGTACTTTTACCAGAATGATAGATAATAAAAAATCCAACTTCACTTATATACTAACGTTATAAGTTTTTACTGAAAAATAGTTAAATAGCAATTAAAAAGCATACAAATATCACTGGTACGAAGAAACGATGTGTTATCTAATAAGTACCTCGTTTTTGAAACTATGTAATTTTATTATTCTAGCTAATATTAACTACTGTGGGCCAAATGTAAACTCCTACAAGAATAACCTTTTTACCTGAATCATCAATAAATGTAAACTCCTACATGGAATTTTTACTTAAAAAAAATAGGGTAATATTATTTTAATTCACGATTTTGGAATTTAAAAGCTCAAAAAGTTAAAAAAAATTATAACTTAAAAATAATAAGTATATAAAATATAAACACTTGAATATGTGTTTATGCGCTGTATGATGATTCTTGAAGTAAGTTATATCCATGTTATAATATTATATGTTCATATAATTAATTAATATATTTTCCACACTATCACTCACAGGATTTGTTCGGCGACCTTGTCCACTTCCTGTTGAGTGCTATTTTTGCATTAAATTGTGCTATCTTACAAAAGTACGAGCGGTATCCTTTTTTATCATCTTTTATAGGAGTTAAAACTATCTTTTGTAGAAGTTAACACTATGTCTTTGTAGAAAATTACATTACATTTGTAGGAGTTTACCATTCCCCCTTCTATGTACCTACCTTTATTTTATTTGATGTAAATGATAAATACTTGTATATTATATAATGTATATATATCATATAACATCATCGTGATGACAAATCAAGAATTATTAGTTGTAATTCATGGTGAAAATTAAGAATTTATTGTACAGATATAAAAAATGTATATGTCCAATAAGGTTTTTTTTAAATAAGTAATAGTAAATTGTAGTGCCCCTTTGGTATACCTAGGCATAATTTAGGGAAAATTTAGTGTGTTTAACATCCCTAGTTTTGAAATTTCCCTCCCATATTTTATGCCATTCATGATTAATTAGTCCTTATTTTATATTGATAAATTAATGTATTGGTAAGTTAGGTAGATACAAAGCCATTATTAAATATTTAATTATTGAATGGAGAGGTTAGAGTCATAAACAAAAATTTTAATATAAAATTATATCCCGTTTTCCTAATTGTGATTACTAATATTTACTTACTTTCACTTAGTTTATTTATTAAATTTGAATTTTGAAATGTGAACTTATATGAATCAAGAGAGAGGATATACCTACAAATGGGCAATGTATTAACATACTTAGTTTTAAAATGACTAACGTTTGATTACAGCTACAGTTAATCTATAGTTCAATTCAAATATTTTATACTAATATTTGTATAAATTTATTGCTACCATAAAAAAAATTAAATTACGTCCACTCACATATAATCAGCCTATATTTTGAGCGATCCACAACAACGTTTTGAACAAACAGAGAGTGAATTAATTTCACTCGCTCAATTAACAAGAAAAGTTAGAGCTTGAAATAAACAAAATTAAAAGAACCATTGAACCATTGTTTATAAAACAAAAGAAACTAATTTGGTTAAAATAATGAAAAACGAAATCATTTAGAGCTAGTATTTAAGTATTTTATATCTAGTATCTACTCATTCTATTAGTATCGACTATCGAGTCAGAATGAGCATTTTCAGCAGCAGCCTATATAGGAAATAAGCCGAAAAGCAGACTGAATATGGGACATTAGGCGTTCTATTATTCCTGCGTTTATATTCTCAAAATAAGTAGAACACAATTGTTATTAATTGTAGTAATATTTTTTACTATATAGGATGATAAAAAAATTAGCATAATTCTTTTAAATTTTGTCTTATCAAATTTCGGGATAATACCGAGATCCCGGGATTAATAGGTAAATATTTCAAAACCCTGGGATCGTAAAATTAGGACGGGATTGTAATCTTTAAGTGGGGCCCATTATTTTCTTAAAGAAAAAAATTATTAAAAATATAACTTCAAATTACACAAGAAACAGATATATATTTTATATCAGTTGATATCTATTTATCTGATTCGATAAATTCATTAACATATATTTATGTTTGATTATTCAATAATACTCAAAATATATTTAGAGACAATTTTCAACTTGTTATTTATTACTGAAAGTCATTTATAATAGGTTTATATATAATAATTTAGTTATTAAGTTAGAATGATTGTATGAGTCATTATTCATTACTTATAAATCATTAGGTATTCATTAACATCATAGGTTAGTGATCTATAAAACAATGGTGGATAGTCGCATATATATTATATAAGTATAAGGTATGTTATTTTAGACTTTAGTCATCATTTCAACACTGCGGTCATATATTATAAAGATAAATGAGTCAAGATATATATAAATAAGATAAATTCTTTTAAATCCATTAATGAGATAGCAAGTACCAACTTCAATGGATAATAGTTAAGTATTGCATTATTAATTATATAATACCTAATATTAATATACTACTTACATAATTTTAAATATCAATATTTTGACTTTTATGTTATCAAAAAGCGTTTATTGTTGATAATATAGATTTTTTCAAAAAATTGCAATTTTATGTAATTTTAAACATCATTTCATCCAGTAATTTACCCAAAAGTTTACACATTAAAATGACTAGCACTAAAATGTTCCATTCCATGATTATAATGATTTTTATAGTTTGTAGATTCTAAGCGAATGTATATTGTAAAACACAATTGTTTGTTTTTTTAACTAAAATAAATTGAAAATAATTTTTATTTATTTATTCTCATAAAAACCGCGATGTCTATAAAATAAGCTCTTACGATACACAAATTAAAACCATTGTTATACATTGAAACAAATTCAACATTTTTTTAAATTTTGTATATCATAATATTTTAAGGCAATTGGCAAAGAGACAACATACTTCTGATAGATGGTTGAACTTTATTACTTGATTTTTAAATGGAATTAAAGTGAAGTGTTTTTTATTATGATAAGAAAAACTATTGTAAAATTATAATAATATGTACTTATATACCAACTAAACATAATTAAAACTAACAAAATAGGATCTTTATAATATATAACATATTATATAGTATTATATATCCATCGCCTTGTTGATTATACAAAATGTAGGTATCCATTTATTACTATATAGTAAATACCTATTTAACTACTCATAAAAATTATTAAAAATTAATATTATACTACTAATAGTTATAAATCATACTTAACTTAAATTATAGAAAGTTAATGTTCTTAATCATCAGAATTTTTTTTAAAAGAATGCTTAGTACCTATTTAAAATGTAATAATATAATATGGTAATTTAATAAAAATAGGTATACGTATACAGGTAGTTGTATGTTGCCTGATATTACATCAATAACTTACTATTATTTTATACACGTATTTAAAGGTGAAATAATCTAAAACATTTTAATTATTGAAATTTGGAATTAAAAAATAGGTAATTATGTATATTTTAATATTTTTTAACTTAATTTTGTTCTTTTTTACTATAAAATTATAATCATAATTATCCAAAATCATCTAATTATTTTATCTACCGTTATACAAATTTCCTATCTTATATCCAAAAAAATAAACAAATAATAGTTTTAACAAGACATATGGTATACCTGAATACATTACTTATAAGATAATTTACCTTTTAAATAATATGAATAATGATTATTTTAATTTAGGTATTGTAAAAATCTAAAAGTGATACTATTTCATAATAATTAAAAATAGAATTTGTTAATTTTTTTAGCACACATTTCAACTACATTTAGAGTAATATATATTTTGATCGAATAAATAAAAAATAAATACCACATATAGCTACATTATTACCAACCGTACATATAGTAAATAGTGATATCATATTTTGTGGATTTTAGGATGATGCAACAACACACGCTGACTTACGCATCAGTATATTTTTTACTTAATATCCATTACCTACTCAGTACTCATACTTGAAAATTCATAAAAATGTTACTTTTACTAAGGGTTTTGGTATAGATATTTATTAAAGGTATTAAATTTATTTGCATCCAATAAAATCATGTAAAACGACGCCACTGAACTTTTATAAAAGCTACAACATAGATGAATAAATATAATGTGTTAGTAATGAGCAACGTATCTAATCTTATTAGCATTACAATAAACACTTAAGATTACTGATAAATCTACATATTCCACTCGGCCGTGTACATATTTTCGTGCGCACGAAATTTTGCATGTCATTATTGTTGTGACAGTGATTAGGTATTTGTCGTTCATAAGTGAAGCTCAAAGTTGTGAAATTTTATCTTAAGAAAAACTATAAAAATGATGAGTAAGTAAATAATTTTACCATTGTACATAATAGGATACTTTTTTCTTTATAAATCACAGTTATACCATGTATTCCTTTTATGGTACATAATATAACATATTTATTATATACCTGGTACCTACTTGAAAACTTCATCAACACTTTTACCGATTAATAATGAAACATTGTTAATATTTTCTTATTTTATTACTTATACTCTATACCATACAGCCTAAACGCCTATAATTACCAACTACAAGTTGACTATCAGCCTATATTACCAAATATTTTATTAATTATAATATAGATTTTTGTATTTACTAGTTGTATAACTCAACTTTGAATAGATTAAAATTAAATTATCTTTATATCGTTTTTCATTTTATTTCAGTTAAAATTTTTAATATAAATACAATTACAATGATTTATTTAATGACTTCCACTTCTTAATTCAAAACATAATATTTCTTACATAAACACAAAAAACTGAAGACAGATTCAACGAACGCTTAAAAGCCGGCTTAAATTCGATATCTTTTAGATTGGTATTCGTTTTATGTGTTTAAATCAAAAATATGCTCAGAACTAAGAAAGAAGATCATGATTACGAATCATAAAAGTACTTGATCATTGTAATTTTGTTCATAAGTATTTAATTTTAAGATTTGCTTTTTATAAAATATATTTGTAAACGTATTTATATGCTATACCTATTTTTATTAATTGTAGTAGATACCTAGGTATTATTTTATTATCTTCTACGTTTCACTTCAATATAGATAATCTTAAATTAAATTGGTTTGTTAACGCATTCGAGTATTCGTCTGCACTAAAATGGGTATTAAAATAAAACATAATGTGTTAAATATTGAAATGAAATTCGAGATACTAGAAGAACTTAATATAAAAGAAAGCGGATTTTCTTCAGCTAAATTTTATAATACTAGTATAACTAGTATAAGTATTAGTGATACAAGACTTAAAAAAGAAATTATTATATCATATTTATAAAAATTAGACTCGACTGATGGTAAAATAACTAGTAAAGTACAACGAAAAGTGTGACTAATGATAAGTTGAACGAAGTTTTCTTTATGGTTTGTATAAAAAAGAAATTTAGGTGACCCTATTTAGGAGCCTCTACTTGTATTTATCATATGATTAAGCAATAATCTTTAATAGTAAAATAAAGTGGTTCACTTGATTTTAAAATTAGTTATAGCTGGTCAAAAAAAACTTAAATTACAGTATAATACAAGAAAATTTAATAATTGATATTGAGGGAAATATAATATTATGTAATTTTACATCTGCAGAATTTTTTTTTTTTATTTCTACTATTATTTGTGTTTATTGTATATTTTTAATTATTATTTCACTCTCGGTCCCAAACAGTGTGAATAATTGACACTTAACCTATTGTAATATAATCTGTAATCAATGGCAAATATTTAAAAAAATATTTAATTTTTATGAACTAAAACTAAATTTGTATATGAATCACCCTATAGCAACCTACAAAGATTAAAAAATAACTTATAACCACTCTCTTATGGTCTCAATGATTATACTTGGATGTTTATTTACTTTAATTTTATTAAAAACGGTTCAGTAGCTTTGAGTTCAGAGAGAGCTAAAAACAAACAATCATATACAGTGAAACCTCCACTAACGGACACCTCCTAATAGCGGACACCTCCCAATAGCGGACGTTTTTTGGGGAACGGGGAATTTTCACTACTTTTCAATAGGAAAACCTCCGAATAGCGGACTCTCCGAATAACGGACATTATTTTATTAGGGAATTTTTAAAATAATGGTAAATCCCTAATCATTATTTGAAAATAATACGTATTCACATACGTATGCACTCTCGTAATAATGTAAAATTATGATAACAAACTCGTTATAGGATGATATAATTACGACAAATTCGGTTATCGGTGAAGCGGTTATGTGTTATGACAAAAGTATGTCAGTTAGTGACGGTTTTCGATGTGATGACTACGTTAAAACGAAAGCGGTTGTCGCTTCGCGAAAAGTTGACATTTTAGATTACCGTAAAAATAACGGAAACGTAGGAATTCGTGCATTCGCAGAATTGTAAAAATATACTTTAAATAATAATATGTAATTAATAATAATTTGTAAAAATATAAAAATGTAATAATTTACAATAAATAACAAGTAATAACTAATAACATTATATGTATGTACATACATAGTACATTATTATACAGATATATTTCAAAAATGTATCCTCTCTGAATAACGGACAAAATGTTGGTGACCAAGAGTGTCCGATATTCAGAGGTTTTACTGTATATGCATATAATATATGAAATTTTTATGTAACAATATTTAATGTTACGGTAAAAGTACGAATATCGGAATATCGGTATATCGGTAAATGTCCGAAATTAATTTCGGTAAAACCTAGGATATACAAATTAGTTTGGTCAAACCCCCGAATGATTTTTGTTGTTCGGGCTTTTACAAACGAGATTTGGAAAATTTTGGAAATTATAGGACAAACAACCAGCGTTGATAAGTCTGAAATTTTTACTAATTATATAATATTTTTTTCCTTTACTTTGTATTTGTAAATAAAAAATAATAATTACTATTTAAGTATATTAGGTACTTTATTAACTACTACTCATTAGTATATTAGATAAGTACACACATTTATATTATTATACTGCGATCGATTTTGGGAATTTTCATTTTGACTGAATATAAATCTTGGTTCTGAAATACCTTGATATGTGTAACTACTCACACAATCAATGAATTAGCAATTTAGTTTATGATATATGGAACACTTTATAATACAGATAATTGATCGATATGTAAGCCTATTAAAAATAATTTTACGAGCAGTATTCATTTCATAATTGCCGCGAATATAGTATATTACGTTAAATATGTCGCTTAAAATACACTTTTAAGAACTTTTAAATAGTGCTGTCGCAGTGAAAAATTACAAAAATTGTTTGTACATTATAAATCAAAAACATAATGTATTATTAAATGAAGTCAATAAATTTGAAGTCTATCAAAATAAAAAAATTAATTGATTATTGTCGATGTAATGGTTTAATATTGTTAATGTTGGCAGAAAATAAAAATTGATACAATATATTGATATCGACTGGACACAAAAGTAGAAACACTATCTCAATTTTTCACTTGAAATCAGTTCATTTTATATGAAATTTTTTTTTAGAATTTGCAATTATAATTCCAGACAATGAAATTGGTATTCGTCAAGATATCAAGTATAGTATTGTAACTGTCTTTGACTGGTGAATAAAATTTGATAAGGTGCGACTATTTGGAAAAATGTATCACATATCGATGTAATAGTGCCGATCCAAAAATATATTGGGTCATTTGGGCCATTCAAGATGCCAAAGAAGTCAAGCCTCCACAAATAAATAATAATTATAATAAATATTGTTGCTGTAATATTTAATATAATATATTAATATGTATGTACAATGCATTATATAATTATTAATAATATTAATGTGTATACTTATCTAATTCTAAATATAATATAATAAATGCATTTAAATAATAATTATTATTAATGTATACATTTCGAATATCTATTTATAAATAGCATTAGTAATAGTAAAATTACTAATCTAATTACTAATCATTAATTAATTAATTAACGAGAAATAGTTATTTTACACTTTAATATCCAGTTTCGTCAAAATTTAAGCTTTACAATCATATTAAAAATATTTGATTTCTTCTAAAAGTGCTATTTTTCACTTCATACTTATTTTTAAATTTTTACATAATTTTCATAAAAATATTATTTATTTCTTTAATTATATATTATAATAGCCAGAGCCCAGATTACACACTATATTATTGACAGAGACAGGTGAAATTTTCGTGTTTTGTCGTCAAAACTATTCTGTTTATTGGTTATTGAGGTAATATAATGAATAGATGGCAATTACAATAACTATAGAAGTATAGAAATACCTACAGTATAAGATCATATTTATTTGTCATTACTTTAGTACTTACTAACTACTTAGTAGCGTTTACTCCGTGTCTCTGTAACTCCAATACAGTTTATGGATATGATCACTGTGGTATAAAATAGTCTTTTTATATTGATTCATCTATATTTTTTTTAGGATTTACAATATAGATTTCCAAAATCATATTTTTGACGATTTTCGATTTTGATAACCAATGATTTTACCAATGTCCGGTATGTATAAATTCTAAATGGATTATTTGTTAATGACTGTACTTATAGTAACTGTGGTATTTTTTTTAAAGATATATATTTGTAATATAATTAAGGCTTGATAATTATTTTTAAACAATATTATAGAAGTAAAAAGTATTTACTACAATTTCAACTACCTATATATATATAATATTCAATATATCTTATATAGTAGAACGGCTAAAATAATATATTATCTTCAGTTAAAATAACTTAACTGGTAAATTGATGTATTGATAATTTAGTATTAACATAGATAATTATTAGTAACAACCTTATATATAATATAAAATATAAATATTACAATATTATTTTAATTTAAATAGAGAAAAAAAGAAAAAGAATATTTAATTTTAATCAATCTTAGATATAATATTCCTATTATTAATTCTTCACAGGTGGTTATGGATGGATCCCAATGGATCAAACACACACGCTGTTGTGGGTGCCGTGCAATTCTGGCGATCCGTTGCCCAGGGGAGCCGTACACGCGGGCACTGACAAGGGCGGTGACCCATTGTACGCAGGTCGGGCTTTTTATGAAGGTGACTTGCTGCCAGCGAAAATAAACCCAAGTCATTCGTCGGCATATGTGTGTTGGGGAGGCATGGAGCATGCCTTAAGTCACTTCGAGGTCAGATCAATTACTGTTAATTTTATAATCGTTTAAAATTCGTGTTGTAAATTATACTACATATACATAGGTAATATAACGTGTCATGTATGTATTAGTATACAGAGTGATTATTTTTAACACATATTATTATTCTAACCAATTGTAGTGTTTAAAAATAATATGTATCTATACAATTTGTAATAGGTAGGTAGGTAAATTGATACGAGTAGATATCTAAAATTATTTATTTATGTTATACTTCCCTTTATTTTTTTTTTAATCTTTTATTCTTTTTTATAACAATTTATATTTTTAATTCCAACATTTTCATATAAATTTCTACGAAGTTTATAGATAAATGAAAAATATTAAACAAGAGTTTAGAGTTATTTTTTTTTGTTTTGAAGTACTTTTTAATTTTTTTAAGAAGTATGAAGTGCTTATAAATAATAAACTAATAGTCCAATATTCGGCATATTAATAAAAAAAATATTTTGTTTCAAAACAAAAATAAATATGTACAGTAGTCAAAAAAGTAAAATACTTAAATAATAGCTTGGATAAATTATTAGATTTCTTTTTAGTAATATAGTTAAACAATAAATATTTTAAGCCATACAAAAATATTTATTTTTTTTAAACATAAATTGACACTAATTAACAGTAGTTTATGTTCAAATAATTATCTTGTATAGCAAAATTAATATTATAGTGCATATGCTAAAACAAAACGGAAATTGAAAAATCCACTTGTTAGGAGGGGCTGTATGAAAGTTTGATATCATACGTTATTTTAATTATTTCTTTGTATAATATTATGATGGACGTACAATTTAACATTTGTATTACATATTTACATATCTTATTGTCATGTATCTAGTATTCTAGTATTTATTTTTATTATATTATACACTATACAGGTGGCTTACATATCGTATATCATATTTAACATATTTAGCATTAGACCTTATTTGTACCTAAAACCTAATCCCCATTCATTATAAGTATTGTAATGCAATAATTAGATGACCTGTAAACCTGTAATACATCACATTATATACAAATATTTTTCGATCATGTTCAATAGTTTTCATTCTATAAAGTGTAAGTAAAAATATTTATGAGTATATAGGAATATTATAATATTGTTTTCATGGTTTACCTTGTATTTTAAACAGTATTAAATACTGTAATGCTACTGTAAGAACTTAAAAGTTCATAAATCTATAGTTTACGGTGAACCACATTATTTGTACTCTTCAGTTTTTAAAATATCTGCACATTTAAGATTGTATTTACTCAGCAAAAAGTATTTTTTGACAAGTTTGTACATTTTCCAAACTAATTTTCTTTAAATCTGATTTCTGAAGATTATTAACATAATATTATATGTATATTGCGTTGTACATTGCAGGATTTCCTTTCCATTTGTGTAAAATATGCAACCTATACTCGTATTATTTGCAATGATAGTTTTCAAAACTTATCAAATTAAAATAACAATTGAGTTAAGATAAAATTATTTGATTAAGACAAAAATAATTTAATAATTTAAGTATTATTTTAATTAGTTTTATTTGCAACATCAATTGTTTTAACTTATTGAATAGGATAATAATAAATTTTAAATTTCAATCTCTTGATATATTTAAATTTGTATTTACATTATTGAAATAAAATTTTTAATTTATTTTTTTTTTCTTGCAGGTTTTATGTCATGCAAACGTAGCATGGCAAACCGCTCAAGGAAACCATATTCCACCTAACGCTATTGTTGTAGGTGCAACCGTTAACGGCGAAAAACTTTATATGGGACGTACGCTTCATGACGGAACATTAACTCCTGGAAAAGTAATATTTTACTTATAAACTATTTATAATCAATATTCTAATTTCTAATGTGACTTATACTGAAATGCTATACGAAATTTCGTAATAAATTCGAGTGTATGAATTTATTATTTGTTTTTAAACAATAATTGATTTTCCTATACAGTCCTATATATTTCTCCGTACTTTTTATATGATCATTTAATTTGTTATACAAAAATAATTTTTAATGTTATTTTATTGTTTATTTATATACAGATACATCCTAGTCATGGAACACTTTACATTCCATATAATGGAGAAGAAGTATCCGTCACCGAATATGAAATCATGATTTACCGACCACCTATGACAATTAATTAAAAACCATAAATACTATGTAATATTAAATAAATTATATATTATTCATTATTTAAAAGAAATAGAATTGTATGCATTATTAAATAATTTACATCACAATAAATTATAAAGAAGAATATATATTATATATTTATACAATTTAAAATAGTTTTATTATAGTAAGATAAAGTAGTAATATGTACTCCATAGATCATAATAATATGTACTAACTAATTATTAAACAACTATAACATATTACAAGTATATGTTTCTAAATTATTATACACCTATTTTTTTTTATTTATTATTTTTTTTTTTTTTTTATTGCTCAAAATTTTAACATTAATTAATCATCACAAAAATTTATCCTGACGGTGATTATAAAATACATTTATAGATATTTAATTCTTTTAACTTTATTCTTAATAATTTCAAAATAGAAGCCATATCAATTTTATATCATATTTATTTTGTTCTAAGGAATACAATTTATTTATTAAGGTAATGTATATGTAATAGATGTTCTTATAAATATAATGAAATACATTAGACCGTGTGCGGTCACCAAAAAAAGACAGAGATATTATGATTTATTTTAAATAAAAAAAATAAAACCTCAAAAATAATTTTCAATCATATGTGTAGGTATAATTTCTACCATATAAGTATATAATTTTATGTATAAGCACTAAGAGAGTACTAAATTGTTATAATTAACGACGACTGTTATTCTTGGTCTTGACTTGATGGTTTTTGTTGTGACCTACAGATGTCGTTGTCAGTACTTATTGGTTCTACTTCAAAATGATTCTTTAAAAAAGGTAGGTATTATAAGAACCAGTAGCAGTAATAGCACGCTATAGTGTGTACTGTGTAACACTGTATACAGGCGACAATTATTATAGTCAATTAACTAAACAACTATAAGTCGTGTGAAAAATAATAAACCTTTCTTAAACCGTAGTAATGTTTTTATAATAATTTTTATTTTCAGAATTTATCACTTTTGTCTTGTTCATATTAAGTATTCTGTATAAAATTCAATCGAGAATGAATTTTGCAATCTTTAACGATACTCAATTATTTAATATAGTTATCTAAACTAAATACAAAATAGGTAATAGATATCTGTAATGCCTACATTACATTTTTGCAATATTTTTATTTTTTTTTTTTAATTGTAATATAATTTAAATATTTTGAAATTGAATATATATAGAGGTCAGAGTTATATAGATATTAGATTGATGTAAGAAATCTAAATAAATATAAGTATGATGGTAAAATAAGTTTTTTTATTTCGTTTAGAGGAAAAATAAAGTACTAGGGAATGGTAATAATGTTTTAATGGAACAGTATTATTTCTATTCTTGCGAAAGCGTGAAATAACTGATTCAATATCTTATCAACACATAATACATAAAAGTACAAAACTGGATTAGAGTAAAATGTCTCATTACCAAAAATACGAATATCAAACTTTATACGTGATGATCTGCAATAATAGGTTGAAGAATATTCGCAAACCTGTATAGTTTTCAAAAAAATAAAACAATTTGATATTTAATAAAATTCAGTAATTTATTGTATTGATAATCAATAATAGCTAGTGTATCAAGTTTTATAAATGTATACAAATTACAGAGTATATTATACACATATATCATATTATAAGTTTATATAAATGTGCAAAAGTCGTGAATTCAAATTATACATACATTTTTTTATTTTAGTCTATTTTAGTCATTATATAAACGGCTGAACCTGCATACCTAGCATTTCATGCAATTATGCATAAATATTAATAATGTCTTCAGAAAACGCCCATTATTATAAATGCGAATTTTTGGACGAAATGATAAATTCCAACCACTCAAATTCCAATATATCTTTAATATGCCAACGTTCATTCAAAACATATTATATAACATGTACTAAAGATATATATACAATATATCCACTGCGTCAATAGGCCTCCCTTCCGGACTTTTGGTAATGGGTATTCGATGAAGGGCTAGTACAGTAATAACTATATACCAGTCAATATAGAGATATTATCTCTTATTTTTTTTTTAAACATTGCATCGCAGCTTTTATAGCTTGTATATAAGGCTTAAATAATATACTCTTAATACATAACATAATTATTATAAAATGTTAATCATCAATTCATTATAAAGTCGGTGGATTTTTGATCCTTTCGTTATTCTTAATCGTGTATACGGTGTATTGTAATATTCCAATATTTCATCATTACCTAGAATCTGCAATTACTTAAACCATTTTTATAAGTCCATAAACTCGAATGCGTATTCTTTGCAGTTAAGCAAATCAACAATCCAATAGTATAGAATGGTAGTTCTTAAACTATGGAAGTACGCAGTGGCGGATCTAGTATATTTTTATGGTGGATGCTATTTTGTCAATAATAATAATAGTCCTAAATTACTTATTATGTATAATTTGTGCGTGGTCGCTAACTGGTGTTTGCTACTCCACGGTGCGGGGCACGCATTCTGGTAGCCCGTACCAAAAATTTGTCACTCGGCGAATTATTAGTAATTTTTAATAAAAATACGCGAAACGGTGGGTGCTTTAGCTCCCAAGCACCCTCCACCCCCAAAATCCACCGAAGTACGCATACCCTTTCTAAGCTTTCTTCTTTTAAAAAACCTCTGTTTTTTTATTATAGGGAATAAAATTACAACTTTCAAAGTTTTACTTGATAGCACTTCAAATCTTTACAGTATGAGTATCGTAAACTACAATTTAAATCTACAGGTATAGATACTTCAGTGTTCAACTCTAAATATATAATATGATAATACAAAATATGGTAAAAATCATCATTTTTTCGTTTTTTTGTTATTCGTATAATAGGTATTTTGAATCTTAATTATTTATAGCCGCATGAGATCGAATTATTATAGCTATTCGAATTCTATACTTTATAATACTTTATAATATACATTTTAAAGCGACCAGTTGCACCGTAAGAAGGAATATATTGTATAAAATTATAAATACTATGCCGTCGAGGCGAATTGTATCGAGGCGTACGTCAACCGCACACACACAAACATACATACAGATGCTCGCGCTGTGCTATCGATCGGGGGCGCGCGCGTGCTACCGAAACGACGAATACTAGTACCTAGGTATTACACAACCCGCGACAGCGTGTTCGGGCGTGTTTGTGCGTATTTTTTCTCTAGAAAATAAACTTTATAGCAATAAGAAACAACAATTGTAACAAGTACGACGACGAAGATGGTATATATATTATCATAAATTAGGCGCGTTCCAACTCGATATACCGTGAATGTTACAATACAATACTATAGATACTTAAATTTATAATAAATCATACATAATAAAATCTGTTAATTACGTGTAAATAATACCACCCCACCTCTATCAACCACCGTGTCGTTATTCACGTGCGCTCGTATATACCACAAGAGAGCGAGATCGTTGCTTTAATCAAGAGACCTTCATATGTAAGACGACTGTGTAAAACCGAACAACCATGAATTGGATACGAAATAGTTTTCCCGTCCGATCACAACCACAGCGAGGGTGGCTCGTCGGTGTTGCGTGCGGTCGAATACGATGAGTCACCGTCGTACCGGAAGCGGCCGCGGACCCGCGAATATGAACGCGGTGGACTGCACGGCTGAATAATTGATAGACGGAGAAATGGAGAAGCCAAGTGAGTTAAATGATATTAATTTGACGGGACGATCCGACCTATACATATTTATTTATACCTAAGCACATTCATGTAGTATGTATAAAATACGGTGTGCGTACAGCTATGGTTATTACTTATTAATAATAAAATATTATAATAAACAAATTTTTAAAAATAAAGGTGGTAAAATAAAAAATTGGATAAATGCAATTACAAGTGATTAATTTTTTTTCAATTATATGTATCTATGTATTATATTAATAGGATTAGTTTACAGAGTAAGTCAATGTAGATATGTAAATATTAAATCGTTAACAACCGATCGAAAATTGACCTTATAACCGAGTTTTTACGCGTATGTCTATTAGAAAGTTATACCTAAATATAGGTACATTATGAATTAAAATGCACAATATTGCATACGTACATTTTATATACTGTACTGCAGTCTGCAATATAAACACTGTACATATAAAACACGTTGCACACGTCTTATCGATTGATATCAGTATATAGTATAGCCAGTAGGTTACAATATGTATATGTAAAACCGTACCGGTTGTTTTTATATTTTTATTATGTACTTTTGTACTCAATCATGATGCTAATAACACAATAATTTTATCATAAAACAAAAAACTCAACGCCTTTTTCACCGCGTTGGAAATGCGAATAACGTACAAGCCTCGTCTAATAATTCTAGTATTGTCGATTTTTATTACAAAATGCTGCTCAATGCCAAAATATTAACAATTAAAAATTAAAAAACCAATTTTTTTCTTCATAGATTCCGATGGTGTTAATGTTAGTTTTGATATTTTCATCACTATGTATATAGCTATCAATAAACACAATCTGTTATCAGACATTTTGGTCTATTATCCCCTCAAAATATAACGCGTGAAATAAAAAAAATCAATAAAAACGTATCAACTTTAAATGATGGCGGATGGACCACGAACACTTTTAGCTTTTGATTACGATATTATTAAATGTATAAAATTATATTGGTGTATATTTATTGATCACTTTATCTGTATATTGTAATACTGTACATGGTAAATTAAGCAAAATACGTATACGTAATATTAATTTTACTAAGTTTATCTGTGTAGTACTGTTTTGTAGTATAAAATATTAAAACTGAGAAAGTCGCTCTGCTACTTTAAAGTCGAAATAAGTTACCTATACAAAATAATTTAATATTCCTAGTTTAATAAATAATAAAATTAGGTACAGATTTAGTTTAGAATATAAATAAAATGTTTTCGTAACACTTTGCGTATATATTTAATATTCATATGAAATTTATTTGATAGATTTCACATTTTTACCAATAACTAACAACAAGTATAGGTTAAAAATAATTATTTTAACATAGGTACTTTAAAAAA